ACTTAAGGATAAAGATGCACCATGAAGTCAAACACTTCAGCATGCGATGTAGGCAAGAGGAGTTTGGTGTCAAGAAATAAATTACAGGCAGTGGAGCAAATGTAAGCAGAGACAAAGGAGGTGCAGATTAGTGTAAACTTTGCAGGGTTATAATAAGCTCATGGTAGTTAATAGTGAACTTCAGCATTTTGTTTAAAAGCATGCTTTCCAGAGCCAGACTGTCTGCATTTAAGACCCAGGTCTAGGTCTGCCAGTTTGTGACTGTGAAAAAAACCACTTGATTGTATTATTCCTCAGTTTTCTTCTTTATATAATGGAAGGAAGACTATGAATAGGATAATCAAGTAAGGTTATCATCAAGATTAAATATATGATGCTTATAAAAGCAATTGTCATGTGGTACGCACTCCATAAAAGCTGTTGCCATTATGTCTAAGCCATAAGAGGGTGACAGCCTATGGGCAAGGGAGCCAATTTAATACTCATTTAAAATCACCCCTCAACACTGTTTCTACTTTCAACAAGAAATGTCACCTATGACAAGAGAAGGAATCAAGATCAATGATGTGAAAGTAGTTGCAAATCTCCCTCATCACAAAGGCATGTGAGAACAGCTCAGTAACATCAACTTTCCTTAAGGAACACATCATGTATTTTCTGATTTTGACGTAACAGTTTTTATGCTCTTGGCATCTGGAGTGATTGGCATGTTGCCAATCACAAATAACTGAGTCAAAGACATTGTGTTTTGAATTTACAATACAATCTAAACTTCCTGATAAAAGAAAAATCCTTCCTTTCATATTGTTGACTCTGATAATCCTTTTAAAAACAAAGAATTTCAGCTGTTTAAATTTAGCATGCTGAGAAAGACCGATCCTAAAATATTGTTTGGCTCTATGCCTGCAAGTATTTTCATTTTGTTCCCTGTTTGTGTTTGTCTTCTGCGATAAGAAGACAAGTGACAGTAATCATGTTAGCTCCTTAACACTTCACATTTTACCTCAATGAACATCTTTTTTATCCTGACTAGTTAAAGGAGGCTTTTTGCTTTCCTGGCAGATTTTCAGGAAATAATTACACAAGAACCAGTGGTATCTCCCTCACTGTTTTTTTTGTTTGTTTGTTTGTTTTGTTTTTTTTAATCACCCAGCTTTTTCCCAATGCTTTCTTTTGAATTATCTTTCTTTTCCCCTTTTTCCTAAAAATATATAAATTTTGCCCAAAGATAAGCTTAATCTAATTTTTATAATCAGACCTTAGAAGAAGTTGGAGTCAGTGCTTTATCTTTGACTTTAAAGATCTCCACCTGCTCCCAAGGAGTTTGTATTTTAGTGTCCCTGGGGACAACACATCTTTTTACTTCAGCCTCCTGTGGAGTAACACCCTTTTGATACTTCCAATTTCTTTCCTTCCGTATTAGTCTCATTATCTTCTTTCCTGGCACCATTCCCAGTTCATTTCCACATTTTGTAATGCCAGAAATCCAAGCGATGACCATGCCAGCACTGGCTTGGGTGAATTTATATTTCAATTTCAGTGGTTCCGATCTTGAGTAGCAAGAGAGCAGGGTAATCTCTCCTACCTGGCCTGATTTCTCAAGCACTCCCAACCAACAACTACAAAATGATAAGCTCAGGCCACCTGATTCACAGAAAAACTCTTTCTTAGTAGAAAAAGTAGCATAAGTGATTAGGAATGAGTGTCACACCCAGGACCTTATCATGGCCTACCATTTCCCAAATATGTTGGCTTCAACATTTTTCTTGGGTTGAGTTTCTTCTCAATGGTGGGAACTATGATCGTCCTCCTATAGCTTTTGTATCACAAATGAGACAATATTTTCAAAGTTCCCTGACCTGCAATTACTGCGCCCACAGTAACTGTCAACAGCTCATGTATTGTGTGATGAGCAAATCATACATGGAAATAGTGCAGATAACTCTTAGGGAGTTGAATCTGCTTCCATAAAATATCTAATGGGGAACAAATATGCAGAACTCTCACTTGAAGTTAAATTCTATATCAGTGTTTTACATGAGAGAAAAAAATTCTACAGAAGGGGTGAAACATCTTCACAACGTTGCCTGAAGCTTTCTCTGGGTATGCTCCTGGGTTAGAAGTATTATTCTTAAGAGAATTCTGCAACAGTGTCATGCATATTCAAATACAGCTCTGATCCTGAAGCCAGCCAGAGAAAGCATCCAGAACAGGATGATGTTAGAATGGCATCTCTAGCCTGTGTATCACCTCGGTCATAATTAGTGAGCAATTTTAGATTTGTGGGACTGCAGCTAACTTTGGCTTTTCTGGCTACAACTCTTCTTTCTTTCAATAATATGCAAGGCAGAGCCTGTGTCACAGGCTTCTAGCCTAGTTCAGACACTGTCCCCACAAACTTCGTTAATGGTTTCAATATTACCCTGTTTTATTTATAAAATATTTCTTTGACAATCTTCACCCCAGATGTAATGCAAGCTCTTCTTGCAAGTAGAATGAAAAAGGGAATGTGAAGGAAACACATTGCTACAGCTCAGCTCCACCTAGAGAAGTTTCTATCTTTAAAGAACTCCTGATAAGTTGCTATGGATGCTCTTGGCCTGGTTTTCTTTGCAGGAGCTCAGGAGCTGGATTTCTGGTTCTCATCTTTAGAGCATTATGGAACTGCTTGTAAACTGTACCCATATTCTAAGGGTTTGTGTATGGAGGTTTCCTTTTTTTCTTTATTTTAACCACAGTCATGTATGTACTACCATAACAAATATATTTCCCAGATCACATGTTACTCAGCGATTCAGTCACATGTAGAGATTGTGCATGAAGAAATGTCGCATGAGGATGAATTGCCTGTGGTAACTGGGTATTTGAGCAACGGTGATGGGAAAAGCACCGAATAAGCCTTTGTATCTAGAGAATGTTGAGATAAGTAGCCAATTAGACAAAACAATTCAAATTATATCCCGGACTTGTTTTGGGTTTTTTTTTTTTTTTTTTTAAAGTAGTAAAGATTAGATGGTTTGGAGAAAGAGTCATGCAATTTAAAATGAAATTGCAGCATAAATGGAGCCCTTAATTTTCTCTTTTCTCATAATACAGGATTTTAGAATTACTTTTCTCTTCAAAGCAGTTATTAGCTTTTAATATATTTTTCTTTTGGATATAGCATCTCCCTCTATCATGCAGAACTCCCTTTATAATTCAATCTATTCTGAACACATAGCAATCCTCCTGCCTCAGTGCTGGATTCCAGTTGTAAACCATCATGCCTGGCCTCCATACATACCTTAAAAATTTGGAACCACTTTGACCTACAGAGAATCTATGCTACTATATGGAAGCATCTATTTTAAAACCCTGGAGTCTGTTTTAGGTAACTTCTGTTTTTGCTACAATCTTTTTTGGAGAAAATATAGTAAAACAGTAATTTCTTCAGTGATCCTCCAGCTAACATATATTTAATACTTAAGAGATTCTTCTTATTTCTTTTTGGTTTGTTTATTTCCATTACTTAAAAAATAAAAATAAAAAAAATCTGGTCCGTGTGAGAGAAGCTGGCTAGAAAACCCCAACATATTTAGATTAATTATTTCTAGTTTCCCTTTTAGGAAAGACTGTTAGTATTCTGCCAGCAATCATGTGTATTTGGTCATTTGCTTTACAATAGGCCAGCCCTTGCCTGACCTATTTTTAACAGTTGGCTATCTGCAATTTGAGAAAACTGGCTGAAGTTTTTTAAAGTTCTTTAAGTCTTCATTCTCTTCTTCCAATGAAGGACCAGTCCTGCTTAGCACCTAAGTACAGTGTTAGCCAAATGAAAATCATCCCTATGAAATCACAGGATGTCAAATCATACTGGATCCCCAGTGGAGATTATTTTAGCAGTAAGAACCTGGGGGTGAGGGGGAGTATCCATTCTACCCACTGAGGAAAATTTGAATGTTTATCAGATTATCAGTGTGGCCCAGACTGTCACCTGGCAGTTAGCTACAGATCAAGTTCACGTTTAATTTTAATTTTAAAAAGGAAAATGAAAGACATGTTTGTTTTGTTTTGCTTGCTTGTTTGCAGATTAGAAAATAAATCTGGAATAAAATTTATGACATTTGGGGCATCTGAAAATCTAAGCTAGCTTCTATGATTTCTCTCCCTCCTCTCTCCCCATAAAGGCAAACTGCCCAGCAGTAACTTTCAGATCACATTTGCCAGTCTTGTTGCCTACAATCGCAATGAACTGGGCACTTTCCACTGACTTAACAATCGGTACCCGGCAGCAAATAACAGGGCAAGGCGACTACCTCATAACTAGAGCAGGAGAAGGGGACGTAATACGCTTTTAGATTTTGCATGGAAAATTCAAAGCTCTGTTTTCCTAACTTTCCTCGCCATTTCTTCTCGTTTCCCCTTCCCCCTCACCACATACCCAGAGGCCACTCAAATTGCCAACCATGTCAAGCTGAACTTACTGCAGCGTGATGCAGGCGAAGGCTAGGCGCATCTCTGAAGCGAGAGCGACTGCTTTTCCGGAGAGGAACTGGGACGAGCCAGCTCTCAGGATCCTTTCCAATTCACACGCTCTCGGTTCAGTCACCGGCTCCCACACAGCCAGGCTTCCCCGAGGAGCGGAGCTTCGAGAACTCTGTTCAGAGCTACCTCCTCCCGACAGCCACCCCCTTCTAGAACGCACGGCGCGTTGGAACTAGTGGCTGGAAGACAGGAATCTAGCCGGCAAAGCACGGGCTGCCTGCAACCCACCACTCCCAGATCATTTGCAACTCAAAAACAGCGGAGGCTGAGAGACGCAGGCTTCCGGAGCCTGAAAGTCAATTTTGGCACCACAGTCCCCCACGCTTCCCCACATCCTCCTACTTCACCCTCCTCTGCCTCGGCCACCTCCAGTTCTCTAGTCTCCCACACACGCTAGGTATCGCAACGGCTTATTTCCTTATGCAAACCGATAAGCATCAGTAAGAAACTGAATTTGTCCGAGAGGAAATAAATACCTGTTGTCCGTGCCTAACGCTCTTCTCTCGTCTTGGTCCTGGATTTGTATGAAAACGCCTTGATTCTGGAAATGTATGCTGTGTGTGTGTGTGTGTGTGTGTGTGTGTGTGTGTGTGTGTGTGTGGTGAGGCGGCTGTCTGCGTGGCTGCATAAACAGCCCTGCCTATCTAGCTGCAGCTGCTGTTGCTACTATTGCTGTTGGAGCACTGGGAAATGAGACAGAGGCAGGGTTTCCCCGCTGTTTAACTGCTGGCTGAGTTATGATCAAGCAGCACTGGAGACTGTGCAGGTATCAGCGTCTGTTACTGAGACTTTAAGCTGGACTGTGTGTAACTGCTACCATTTAGTGTATATTTCCCCCTCTGCCGGGAATCCGATACCTGACTCTGCTCTCGTTACTAACTGTGTAGTCTAATGGGCTGCTCAGTGACCACCTGTCCAATCCACGTACTGCCCTCTTCGGCTGCATTCCTTCTTGATGAAGGATGGATGAGGAAAAATGCAAAGACAGTGGATGAAGAGGAAAAATGGCATGTAGTTGTAACCAATCAGGACACAGAGAACAATGAGCCATGTGTTAAAAAGAATGCAGTTGGTCATAAAAAATATAGCCTCTCATGAAGTCATGTGATTCAAAGTGCGCGAAACATAATGGTTATTAAGGAGCGTATATACTGGCTTCAATGAAGGTTGCAGAGATATGTATGTCTTAATAGCTCTCAGCTTCCCCATAGGGTATCCACTGTGATTTCAATGTATTACTGCCATTCCATCAACTGCAGACTCTAGTGAAACCTACTTTTAACTGCTGCAGATGGACTCTCCCTTTCTCCTAATTGGTTACTCATTTTCTGCCCCAATATATATTCACATAAAGTGATAGTCAGCAAAAGTTAAGGACATTCTCAACCTTCCCTAAGGACTAGCAGCATCTTCGTGTGTAATATTATTTGCTCTAGCAGTAATTTATGTTTGTGCTTTTGTTATGGACTAGGTGATCATGAAAAACCTTCACACAGACACACACACACACACACACACACACACACATCAGTAAACTGAACAGTACTCCAATTCTACTTTTAGCTTTGCTGTCTGAGCTAAAAATAACCTTACTTTTTTTTTTTTCATTTTATTTACAATGCATAGCTTTAATTATTTTTACCTTGCTCTGAGCACTTCTTATGTTTGCCATGTAAATTCCCAGTTGTAGGGCTTGTGTAATCAAGGACTGAAAAAAAAAAAAAAAAAAAACAGAGAAAAACATGGAAAAACCTAAGGCCTTGGAAATATATCAATTCCTGAAAAGAGAAAAAGAACTCAGAATTATTAACGTATCTTCTCTTGATTTGTTTATGTAAGAAAAATCATTCCCGGGCTGGAACGAGTTGGCTCAGTGGTTAAGAGTGCATGCTGATCTCCCAGGGGAACTGAGTTAGATTCCCAGCACCCATGTCGGGCTGCTCACAGCACAGCAGCCTGTAACTCCAACACTGCACTCTCATGCACAGACCCACACACAGATGCACACAGTAATAAAGTAAATATTTTTAAAAACAGAAAGAAAATCATTGCCTTCATCTAAACAAAGACTAATTAATGAATAAAGCATTTATCAATTTTCCAATAGATATCAAGTTACCAAAACCAACTTTACTATAATTACAATGAAAAATAACATGGATTAATATTTTATTAAAAAATCATGTAACATACTAAGTACACATTATCCAGAATTTCTTTATTATAAAAATCTTAATAAAACATGGCACTACATATTTTGGCCCTTAACCTTTTTCTGTTGAGTACTATATAAAATACAATATCATTAAAAATATGAAGAGTAACTTCAAAATTTAAACATATGCACTGAAGATCACATAAAGGAAGCAGTCTCAACCTCTTAGCAATACACTCTGATAAGAAATTCTGTTTAATATACAAGAGGTCTGATTTTAAACTTACTCTGCATGTCACATTCATCTCTACCAAATACTGACTGTAACAGAAATGTTAAGCTTTAGCTTTTTTTTTTTTCTTTTTGTGAGACAAGGCTTCAGTATGCTTTGTAGGCTGACTTCAAACTCATGATCTTCCTGCTTCTGGCTCCAAAGTTCTAGCATAAAAAGTTTGGGTCACAATTTAGCATGTTGTGGTTTTTGCCTTTACCCTACTCTGATTTCATATTAGAATGTATAGGAAAAGCAATCAAACTTTCTTAAAGAACATAATTAACTACGTATTTTCAATACAAACATCTGGTCTTGGACAAGATGGAAAAGGGAAAAGATATTGAAATAATCATAAGGAGTAGTAAACTCCAGTTAGATGGATTTTTAAATTTTACTCACAGTGTTGCTCAGATTTAAAAAGCAAACAATTCTTTTGACAAAATCATAAGATTTGGTAATGGTGGCGAGAAATAATCAGTGGAAGACAGAGGTCAGTCCTTAATTCCAACTCTTACACCCAGAGGATTAGTGAGAAAATTTAGAGATCAGTGCTTTACAAACCATTGCTCACCTCTCACTTCTCTAACAAGCTCTTAATCATTAGATTAAAAAATAAATTTATGGGGATTTTTATATAATTAATTAGTCTAAAAATTCTTGCTAGACAAATAAAACTACTCTTTAAATACTCAAAAAATCTTTTTAAAAAATTATATGTGTAGAAACAATGGAGTTTTGGTGTTTGCATGTGTTTGTGAGTGTAGTATGTGCACGTCTTTGGTTCACATTGCATATGTGCATAAATAAAGGAAGATTCCAGAAGTCAACATTGGTTGTTGTCTCTCTAAACCTGGAGCTCACCAATTCAGCTAGTTTGCCTGGCCTGCAAGCCCCAGGATCCTCTGGCCTCTGCCTCTCCAGCACTGTGATTATAGACATGTGCAGCACCTGGTTTTTTACACGGCTACTAGAGATCCAAACTCAGTTCATCATGCTGGTGTGGCAGTTATTTTGCCAGTCAAAGCATGTCCCCAGACTGAAAGATCTAATCTTAATTTTCATCTAAATCTCCCTCATTGTCAACACTTGGGTTCCCAATCTAAATTCTTTTATGATAATCTTTTACTGGAGAAAAGCCAAATATTTGTAGTCTACAGCAGCAAAAAAAAAATCATATGTGTATAGTTCACTTATACACCTCTACGTCTTTTAGTGTTTACTCCATGGCATATGTACAGTGGATAGTCCATAAATAAATATGCAAACGAGTAAAATAAATAATTTATGCCAACAGGACATAGGTGTCTGAACTCTTCCTGTCTTTTTTCTGCTACTATACACAAAAAATGATGTGACTCACTTATCATGGTCTTTAAGCATCCTTTCAGGTCTACCATCAACAAACTCTACAACACAGCATAATAAATATATGCATAAATAAATAAGACTACTCCAAAATGGTTGCTACCCTTCGAATACAATTAGTAACATCCCCAGAAGCTCATTCCCAGGCCACTTTGCAAAGGGTTAACATCAAGACCTACTCAGATACCTCAGAAGCACAGTATACTGCAACTCTACTTCCAAATCTGAATCTAGCCTTCAGTGTTTAGCTATAAAGGCTTACAGAAACTAGCTTGTTGCACACTTCTATGTGCACATGTATTCTTGAAATATTAAGGACTTTCACCAACTTTTTATCATTATCAGTAAGGTAATTTTCTTGGATTTTTGAAACAGGGTGTCCCTGTAGTACCATCTTGCCTGGAACTCACTGGCCTTGAACTCAGAGAGATCTAGCTGCCTCTGTCTTCCGAGAGCTAAGGGTGACTCTTAACGACAACACAATGATGCTTATAGAGTGAAGTATTTATAAGTTACTTTTGGTTGCTATGAATCCTCTTTTGACTGTAGCTTTTTATGCAAACTTATGCTTAGAAATTAGGTGCCATGTTCATTGTATTGGCAAATATTCTGAGATGTGTTTGTTTGTGTGTTCATTGACTGTTAGCTTCAAAATAGTGGGAAAAGAAACAATTCAGTTTGTCGGAGCATCTGCTTTTGAAGGTTATAGGTATAATAAACAAAAGTCTTCCTACATTTAATTTTAGAATATTTTAAGTATTTTATATTTCAGAAGAGTCAAATTCTTCAAATTTGTAGTCATGTGATTTAATTCTTAATAACTTTGACATAAATCATGAGAAGAACAATTTTCTAAATTGAACACTCTCACTTGAGAACTTTTCTATTGGTTGGAAGGTTAGAGAAGATACAGAAAAGACATGATTATATTGCGTTCCCTTTAAAAAAGAATAGTGATCCTAAACTATGAGATTTGAATAGGTCCTTCGACTTCATCTAATCTGATTCTCATCTTTTAGAGCAGACGAAGGTAACAAAGTAGATCACTGTGGCTTGTTGCTGGCCAGACATGTTACCAGTCTTCCCATAATGCTCTCTATGGGGTACAAAACAGATGCTTCAATTTCAAGTAGGTCAAGGATGAGTTGCATGACCTTGGGAAAATTGTACTTTCTATATTTCAGTTTATTCACTTACAAACAGGATAATCATAGCAATGTGCCCTATGGAATGGTTGAAGGAATCAAGGAAGATGGTAGATGTAGAGGACAGAGAGAGCTAGCGAGAGAGAGAGAGAGAGAGAGAGAGAGAGAGAGAGAGAGAGAGAATTAGCGGTTTTCATGATAGTACATCTCTTCATTGAAACCATTCATTTCTGAGGTTACTGTTTAAGTATCTGAGTTATAAAAACTTAAAATTCATGTATTTATAAATAAATGTATAACTGAATGGAGGTAGCAGAAACTAAATGATTCATACAGGGGCAACAGCTAACCTAAGCAAAGACAATAATTTTTAATTTCATGAAAGAATTCTTTCTCTGCTTCAAAAAAGGTAGCAGGTGGTATAAAGCACCTGACAAAGGAATGATCAATAACAGACGCTAGTGGCTAGTGTAGAAGTAATACATGATTAAGAAAATCAAAGGAAAGCAGCAAAAGAGGATTTAAAACATGAAATAGGAATCCTATGACAGAAAAAAAAAATGTTATTCAACAACCGAAGTTTCATGTGGGAAATTAACAGTCTGTAATACAGCCCAGTCATTTCTTTGTCCATCTCCACAATGGATGTAGAGTACAATATGATTGATTTAGCAGTGGTCATCCACATGAGGTTCCTGAAAATGTCCCTATTTTGTGTTGTATGGCCTCCCTTTATTATTTAGGTCAGTGGTTTACAAAAAGTCAAGGCATATTATAGAGTGACATTTTCTTTATTGTATTTTAAGAAACCAGATGGGTAGCTTGAACAGCATCTTCTGTGTCAATTCTAACCCTCGAAGGACATCTGATTATTCTCTCTAACACTATTGAGGTCATTTCTGTTTCTTTCTAAGATTATAGAAATATATTCGTATATGCACAAAGATCTATACAGTACAATATTCAGAAGATTTTCAATT